AAATTATATTGTTTGTGATGCCTTAATTCCGTCACTAATTGTGACGGAGAAAATAATCCGTCACTAAATATTTTGTGACGCCAAATTTTGTGACGGAATCATTTCCGTCACAAATTCCGTCACTAATTTATTTGTGACGGATTTTATGAAGATTAGTGACGGATTTGTTCCCTCTCTAATTTTAATTTTTCTAGTAGTGTTTTTAATCTCTAACGCTCTCATTTTCTAAAGTCTCCAATAAGGTAAATTTCGTTGTCGTTTTTATTTTCATTTTCTTCTTGTGTCTCTTTTCGTTTTCTCATGCTTTTCTCGTCTCTATTTTCGTTGTAGGTTCAGTTTGGGTAAATTTTGAACCTAGAACGGCCCGTTCTCCTTAGAGAACAGGCCGTTCTGCAAGGAGAACGGGTCGTTCTCCCTGAAGAACGGGTCGTTCTCCCTGAAGAACGGGTCATTCTGAAAGGAGAACAGGTCGTTCTCCCTGGAGAATGGGCCGTTCTGAAAGGAGAACGCCCTGTACTAAAGTTAACTTTTTTGGCCTTTTGAACAGATTGGAACGGCCCTTTCTAATTTTGGAACGGCCCGTTCCAGTTTAATATTTTTTCGTGGCCAGACTTTTAAGATCGGTTATAAAACAACCGATCTTAAAAGTTAACTTTTAAAATCGGTTGTTTAACCGATTTTAAAAGTCTAACTTTTAAAATCAGTTGTTTAACCGATTTTAAAAGTCTAACTTTTAAAATCGGCTCTTTCAAAATCGGTTACGGAACCAATTTTAAAACTTAAAAATAACTGATTTTTAAAGTCTTTTTTCCACTAGTGATCGTGAAGGTAATCAAAATGTTCATATTTTAGTATATTTTGAAATGTATGTATTACGTTAATTTTATTTTTATAAGAATGAAGTATCAATTCATCTTTGATTAATATAAAATTTTGTATATGTGATTTAAGTGTAAAGAATTTTCAATTTAATGGTTGGATTTACAAAATTCTAATTTAATATAAAGTTATTGAGCAGTGTAATAGTAAAAGTAATTATACCAGTGTTATTATAACCCTCCTCATATATATATTAAAAAAAAAAAAAAAAAAAAGTTGAATGCTGAAAAGCACAATGTCAAGTAAACACACGATGCATGACGTCCTGCAGAATTCATCCAGTGATTTTGAGTATTTGGAGATGTACATCCGATATTCAATAATTTGTGTTTCAAAGTGTTTCGTTTGATTTCACTGGTATTTTAGATGTAACTAAGGTAATTTATTTTACTTGATTTAAGGTTAAAAACTTTTACTTTTATGTTCTTTCTCTAATTAGTATATGAAAATCATGTAATTCGTATATCTCTCTCCATGATTATATATGTGAGACTTGGGTTTTGATTTGAATTTTTTTTTTTCCAATTGTCTTATTTTCAATTGATATTTCACTTTGATTTTTTCCAATACAATTTTTTACGTATGTCTCGTATTATTGAGCTTGATACGTGAATAAATGGTAAGTAATCCTTTTAATTATTTAAGATATCTTAGAATAATAAATTTGAACTTAATTCAATCTTACAAAATTATTTTGTAAAGTAAAAACTTATATATTTTTTTAGTTGTCTTATCTAGTATATAAGACTTAAATTATTATCAATAATATTAAACCATTTATTATAGAAAAAACATTATAATCAAGTTCTGCTGGGGTTATATATAAAATAATAATACTGCATATTAAATTGGGGTAGGTACGTAGCATGATTCATAGGCACTTCAAATTAAGATATCCTTTTATCGGGCTGCTATGTATGATTGTATATTCATTTAAGTAACTAAATGCGATCATCCGAAATAAAATATATCTAAAAGTTTACTTGTTACTCAATGATTGGTAAATGTTCAAAATAATATTTTAATATGTTAGCAACATTTAAAGATTTAATACATTCATTATTTAGAAATTAAAATAATTATTAAAATATTAGTTAAAAAATGTTTTAAAGGGTACCCCACATGCTAATTAAAAAATGAAACGAGACATGCAATTTTCCGAGATGAGATCCCAACGCTGAATTTCCATCAAATTAGAGTCTATAAATATTTGCCTTTATGCACTTCATGAACATTAACGGATCAAAGTCCATTTTCCTTATTCTCTCTTCCAAGAACATATAATTAATCAATAATCCATCAATCTCTAACGTTCCCCTATGGCAGCTGATGCTTCAAGTGATCCAACTTTTCCAACCCACACAAAAGCTTGGTACTACTCTGAACATGGTGCACCAAATGTTCTCAAATTTGATCCCAATTGGCCCTTACCCCAACTCAAAGAAGACCAAGTGCTCATCAAGGTCATTGCTGCATCCCTTAATCCCATTGATTACAAGAGGATGAACGGGTTGTACAAGATTTATGACCCTCATTTACCTGTATGTACAACTTCTACTAATCTTTTAGGTTCCTTAGATAAATTTATTTTTAGAGTTTATTTTGATAAACTTTTTTAGAAACACTTTTAGAAGTAAATAAAAAATAAAATAAACTTTTTTTTTATATCTAAAGCTAGTTTGTTAAAAATAAGTTTAAGAAGAAGTGAATATAAGAGAATTTTTATAAATTAACTTATACATTAACTAATTTTATATTAGAAATTCTTATTCTATTATTTTTTTTCTTCTATTTTCTCTCTTAAAAGTGCTTTTAAATTAAAGCAGTTTATTTAAATAGATGCTTAGTCTTTATATTTTAAAAAATGACAATTTTGATCATCATATATTCTTTTTAATAATAAGTTAATTGATTTCCATCCTATTATCTTAAGTTTCATAAGACTAATTTTAATTGAAAATTAATTGAGAAATTTGTATCACATTTTGCCTAATTTATATATGTTTATTAGCTTGTATAAAATTTGTAAGATATATGAACAAGGTGTGATATAGTTAATAAATAATTTTATCCCTTATATAAGCACATAATTAGCATTGAGATTGATCTATGGTCTTATAGAAAAACACTTGTTAAAAAATGCCAACTTTTTAAATGAATTAATTTTCAATTTTTTTAATGATTAGTCTTTAGCTTCTAATAAAGGTATATCTTATATATTCTCCAAAAAAAATTTCTAAGATGTTTTTCTAGCTTATAATTAATGCTTTCGATTCTTGAAAATATAAAATTTAATTCCTTTCATTAATTAATTGTATGGGGGTGGTGTGAGAAGACTGTTCCAGGGTTTGATGTTGCTGGTGTGGTGGTAAGAGTGGGAAGTGAAGTGAGGAAATTCAAGGTGGGGGATGAAGTATATGGTGATATCAACGAGGAAGGAGTAACAAACCTAAAGGCCCTTGGCACTTTGTCTGAGTATACTATCGCAGAAGAGAGGCTATTAGCACACAAGCCACCAAATCTAAGCTTTGTTGAAGCTGCTGCCATTCCTGCAGCACTTGAAACTGCTCATGAAGGCCTTCAAAGAGCTGAGTTTTCTGCTGGAAAATCTATCCTTGTTGTGGGAGGAGCTGGTGGAGTTGGTCACTTTGTTATTCAGGTATATTTATATTCAAATGATTTTAGTTGGTCATATGATAGAAAAAGACAAACAATAGTTGGTCCTATTATAATTATTTTGTGTTTTTATCTATCATATGAGGATTAATTCAAATGAAAAGTACCCTTCTCTTTTTTATGTGTATTAGCTTTTAATTATTAGATTTTATATTTAATCACAGAATGTGACATGTGAGGCAATATATATAATGTTTCTGTCGCATTTCATTTATTTATACATTGTGATTCTTACGGAATATTATGTATAATTGAATTATTATTTTAAAAATTATTTTATAGTAATTTTTATTTAATTAATAATATAAATATTTTTGTTTCCCATGTTATGTGTCAAGATGAAATTCAATTACCATCATACAAGCATAATAGGCACAAAATTGTTCTAACAATTGATATATACTTTTTTAAGGTGAATTTTGTTATCATAATAATTATACTTAATTTAAATAAGACTATTTCTATATATATGTGGTCTATAAAAAATAAATGAAATTTTATTAATTAATCTTTTCTTATTTTTTTATTATAAAGGATTGGAAGGTATGATTAACCTAAGAGTAGTGTAAAATTAACAATGAGTGTGAATATTGTAGGGTGTTGAAAGGATAAAGAAAACATTATTGTGTGTGATGTGACATATATCTTTAACATAATTTTGGCATGTATATGTTGGGGTGTAGCTTGCAAAGCATGTTTATGGCGCATCAAAGATAGCAGCTACTTCTAGCACTGGAAAACTTGAACTTCTAAGGAAGTTGGGAGCTGACTGGGCTATTGATTATACAAAGGAGAACATTGAAGACTTAACAGAAAAGTTTGATGTAGTCTACGACACCATAGGTCAGTCCTTTAAACCAAACTATATATAATTAGTAGAGTATACATCAATAAAACTTAACTAGAGTAAATTATCCGTAAATTATAATTTATTCTAAATACAATTTAATAAATATTTTAGATATTATTCTATAATCAAAATTGAAGTTTTACTGATATCGTTTACTTTTATAAAAGTTTGTACATCCAAACAAAAATTCCAACTCATTATGAACAATACCAATATCATTTAAGAAATTACATTTTTGTTCACTTAATGTATCTATCTATGAATGGCTATGAACTGTAACTATAACATTGTTTGTAAAGCAGTGATTAATTCTCCGAAAATTCATGAACACAAACACATGCAGGAGAACCTGATAGAGCATTGAAGGCCGTTAAGGAAGGTGGAAAAGTTGTGACAATAATACCTCCAGGACTTCCACCAGCTATATTTTTCGTGCTAACTTCTAAAGGGTCAATCTTAGATGAGTTAAGACCTTACTTGGAGAGTGGTCAAGTGAAGCCATTACTCGATCCAAAGACCCCTGTGCCATTTTCTCAGCTTATTGAAGCCTATTCCTACTTGGAAACCTCAAGAGCCATAGGAAAAGTGGTCGTTTATCCCATACCTAACTAGCTCAAACGTCATTATTGAATATTATTGCATATTAGTAACTGCTTTTGATGGTGAATATTTAAATAAATATATATATCATGTGTATGTCCTAGTTAGTTAAGGTTTCAGAGTTCAGACAGTGTCTTTTTTCATGTAATAAATTTGCCTATTTATAGATCTCTATTTTATATGAAATCAAAGTCAAAGAAAGTTTACGATATTCATGTATTCTAGATTTATCCATAACCTTCTATAGATGGATTTCTCTTCCATGTATTGATATAAATTTTTGCAACATTCACTAGATATTATTATATTCATCTTCCACTACCAAACCTACTATTATTAAAAAATTAAAAATAAATCTATAATATATAAAAAGAATATTTCTCTTTAATTTTCTTCTCTCTTGAGGAATATAGGTTGCTTCACCTTCTTGAGCTGGTTTAATTAAAAGATTTTTTAATTAAAATAATTTCATGTCAGATAAATTAAATTAATGGTTCATGAATAAGATGCTATTGTGGCTTACTCTTGATGCAAAAAATAAACAGAGTTTAACAAAAAAAATGTAAAAGAAATATGATGAAAATTTGAGGTACTAAAGATAAGAGAAAAAATGAGGAATCGAAAATAAATTAGGTTGATTTAATTTTAGAAGTTCAAAAACATATTTAATCCTTAAATAAATATTAAAATGAAATGAGATGAGATTTAAAAGATATAGAAGTAAATATAAAAATAATATAAAGGAATAATACTTGAATTTTAAAATTATATATATA